TACAACATTACAGAACAATCTGTGAAGACGTTTGTAAAATAAAACAAAGACTAGCCTAGCAACGAACGTGCTTTTTATGAACAATTCATCACATTTCCCAGTACTTGAGACTGTGTGAAATGAATTGTGTAAATAAAAGCAAATCAATCAAATTAAAAGCACATGTAACATGGGTTAGTTTATGTTGTAACATTTTGAAGTACAGTACTCCAGTGTAGGACTCAAGAGACTCATGCATTGTGCAACCAACAAGTTGAGAACAGACCTTCAGAATGCCTTTCTGTTATGAGAAGACAGTGACAGGAAAGATTTCTGGTGAGAGAAAGATGAGACTAAATGAATTTTTATAAATCCATCCCTGCATCCTTAAGTATTATAGCTTTAGGGTTCTGGTTTTGTATACGTGAATTAATGGAAGTAATGTTAAAGTATGTTTTTCTTAAACAAGTGTTGTGTTGACTTGTGTTGTAAATTATATGCTTTCAAAATATTGATTTATTATTCAATAATTAAATTCTGGATTGCTCGTAAATGCTTGATGGAATGAGCACTGAGAAGATAAACATGTTCTCAAGTGCTTTATTTCCCAGTAACACAAACTGTTCTGGACATTGTTTCCAACCATTCATTACTAAATAATGAATCTTTTTTTTCCAAAAATATGTTGCCAAACTGAGATATGTTTAATTATATATAATCTGTAACGAAGTTGAGGTAATATAAATGACACTCAGCCATCCATTCCTGTAAACTCAGTGGTTATGAGTGCTTTTTTTTGGCTTTTATTGTTTGTAATTGGCTTTCTACGAACATCTGTCTGTAGCTAGGTTTGTAAACCATTTCCATTTGCCATTAATGCCTGATTAATAGCATGTGTAACGTATCATCAATTAGTTCATTTCGCACGGACGAAACAGTTTTAGTCTGAATTGGAAATAACATGGGAACAAGCTGTTCGCTCACCGATGATCACAAATCTATAGAGTAGCTCATTGGGCAAATGGTCACACCATTGAAGCCCCCTTTCTGTGCTGGTGGCTGTATGTATAGAATATCAATAGCATTCCAAAAGTGGTATTACGATCAAGTTGGTCAGTATTGCAGGTCTTGAATCAGAATTAGAGGTGAACATGATGGAAAGACTTTGCCAGAAACTTAACATAACGAGATTCCAATATGTACGGAACAATCAAATCACTGTCCTCTCTGCCCTCAAAAGGGCACAACAGTTGCATAAAGTACTGTACATGCACCATTTTGTAGCTTTGCCCATATTCTGCATCAGAATTAGATGACATTTGTCACTGCTTTAGTCAATGCAAAATGTAAGACAAGAGATCACTGTATCAACTTTCTCTTCTTATATCACGTGTTTTGGAAAGTCATCTGAGCACAGGTTAATAAGTTAATACATTACAAAATTCTTCTTTCAGATTAATATAATAAAATAATCGTGCTTCTGATTTTCTCTTTGGCAGTAATCGATTACTGAATCTACTAATGCCTCTGGCAACAATCTTTTCACCTGCCGGGTCACATTCGGTCAGATTAAAAATCCTTCAAAGATATTGGGTCAGGCATACAACACTTTGCCACCTCTGTTTCCCTCTGCTTCTTCTCTCCTTTCCTGCTGCTCTGTGATCAACCTTTAGGAGGCACACTGGGAACAAGACAAGGACAACCTCTACAGATAAAATGATCCATTAGTCTGCTGAACCAGAAATAAAGCTTTTCATAATCATGGGACTCAAAGACATCTGAGAGACATAGAGATTGATACTCTGGATACCAAACAATTCATACCTATTACACCTGCCAGCATGACTCCTGTTTACTCTCACTGCACCCCTCCCACTGCTATTTCAAAAAGCTTGGGGTTTTCTTTCAGTTATTCTGGTTTATATTCCTCACTAATCTAAATTCTACTTGTTGTTTGTCAGACATTGCTGGCACAAATTAAGTGCCAGCAACACGACAGTGTTTGCCTACATAACATTAACCTAATTTCTAAATGAATCAATCTAATTTTGTAAAGGGCTTTGAGACGTTTCTTTTATGTGAAAGGCACAGTATAAATGTATGTTGTGTATATTTGGTAGGAATTGTATAAGGGGGCGTATGGGCAGTGGATTCTGTTTCCTTTAATTCTTTTACTCTGTTTTGGTGGCTACAGTGGCTATTAATTTGCACCATCCCCTGATGCATAACACACCCGCTAATTGAGCCAAGTGTTGGTTATGTCACTAAAATCGGACTATTAAGCAATAATCTAGTGCTGATTGCTGGGATTCTGTTCATTATGTATTACATGATGATCTTTCAGTTCAAGTTTAATCAACCCATTTGCATTGTTCGTGTCACGTAAATTGTTGTGCGACAAAATCAGTCTTTTGTTTCGATGCCTTTGAGGGATTTTTTTGCACTGAATAACCCTTTGCCTGTCTCTAGGTACTGGGACTCTTTATTCAGTTCTCTTAGGCCAACCAGGTGTCAGGAAACTACAACCATTTCCAATTGAAATGCCATTATTTGCACATAGGCAACACTGAAACCTGGACCTTGGGGGTGGGGACGAAACCATTTGGGGAGACTTCCTTTAATCTGGGCCAAGGTAGGATTATAACAAACCGTCCTGATGCTAAGTGCAATCTCTCGTGATACTATCATTAAGTGAGAGAGAAGGCATTGCAGTGTGGGGTAAGAGTTAGCACATGAACCACAAACAAAAATCAGCTCCATTTGACACCAGCAATTCTATCGTTGCAAGTTTTTTCCCTTAACGTTTTGATAAGTTTGTGTATGTGTTTGTGCCTCTCTGTGTGCGAAGTGGTAATTACCTGCTGAACCCCAAAGGCAATCCACACCCATGCCTTCCCTGTGCAGTGCTGGCCTCTTATTTCATCCACTGTGTTTAGTGGTGTTCTGGACAAACCTGACTAGATTCAGAAGAGCTTATTGTTACTTTAAACACATGATTGCATCAAATCAAACATGTTCTTGACGCTCGAAATACTTAATAAAATTGGCCAATCAAATAAAAAAAACGCTTCCTCTCTGAGGACATCATCTGCCTCGTTTCTGTGAAGCATCTTTACTGCTCGTGAAATTTGTTGACTGGTGCTCTGCAGTCACTAACTCCACCATTGCATACAGAATGTGTTGTCAGCAGGTTTGTAGAGCTTTAACTTGTTATTCGCTGAATTTTGTTCAACTTCACCCACACCTGAGTGTTAGCTATATTTGTCAGAACTAACACGCATGTTTAATATTTCCGTCTCATACATTAATTAAGCATGCTGGAGCTCTTCATTGCCTTATAAACTATGTATGTTGCTTAATTGCATCGTGCAGTTACAGTTGCACGTTACACCGATCAGATTTCTCACTTAAAAGCAACTGTTAAGCAAACAAACCCACTCAGTCTTAATTTGAATGCAACAGGAACATTGTATTTTACAGCCTTATAAAATGGTTGATCTCTGGATGAATGACAACATGCTTTTGATCAGAACAAATGTATTCCAGTGGAATGTTTCCCCAATTGATGATCAGTGAGGAAGAACTTATACACTCAGGCTCATAAGCACAGAACAGTAAGGGTTTGGCGAAGGGATCTGAATTACCTCTTCAATAATTAAGATAGGTGCTGCTGGAGTCTAACCAGCTAAAAAAATGTATAGCTTATCATTGATAGCACTGTCTGGCAAGCTTTCCCGCTGCTTATCCAGCTAGGACCACCCTACCCATTAGGGCTTTGGGTGCGAGGTTAAAAGGAGCTGAGTGGGATGATTCCCCTGCCCCCAGTGACTGGTCTGCCCTTCCGTGTCCTGCTGATGAGCCACGCTGGCTGTGCCTGTCATCAACAGTGCCCCGGAGTACTGCGGATCCGTCTGGCTCAGGAACAGGTTTACCGAGACCGCCAAGTGGGGGCTGGCTCGATTCCAAGCCCGTCACCTCACCAGTTCAGCTCTAAGGAGACCCCGCTTGCCTTCCCCACCAAAGAGGATAGTTGGGAGCCATGGTATCCAAATTTATCTCATTTTATCCCAGTTTAAAAGAATAACAAACAAATGCTCAAAGGCACGCTTACATTAGTAAATCAAAAGCTTTTTATGTGCATTATTAAATGTAACATCATCATACTTGGATGAATTACACTATGCCCTAAAATAGAAATAACTATACATTTATTGAGTTGCTGGTGTTTTCACAGCAAATTAAATGTTGGCAATGACGCTCGTAAAATGCAGCAGCGTGCAAAAAGCTCCAGGACTTCTGTTTGTGCATTAGATTTGAAGGTGCAGAGAACAGAGGTCAGTATTAGCAGACTGTGGTACCTGCATGGCCTCAGAAGGCTTCTCACCGTGTCCAGAAAGAAAGCTGCAGTTAATTAGCCCGCATAAATCTGTTGTGTATAATTTCCTGTGGGCGAATTTCAATGGACGTTAAGTAAATCAGTTGCTTCTGTTGTGCATAAAACTCTAGAGATGTAATCTAAAACATGTTTAACTTGCATTTTGTTTTAACGGTGCATTAATAAACAAATAAACTGAACGACTAAATGACCTCCATTGCCTGAGATTTGCATAATGTCCTTGTAGCTCTCCAGTTCAGCGTTGCGAGAGGCTAACATGCTCTCTGTGAGCATCTGGCTTTAATAGGTGGCTCGTCCCCAGCCTCCTTAGCTCGTCAGAATTGTTCAGACAAGGGAGACACATTCATTCTACCTGCCAGGATGATCTCATACACCATATGTCTCTTTGGAATCCGAACTTGTATGGCCATGGGGGGAAACGCTCAGTTTCATCTGGAAAATGAATGCGTGGGTTTCACTTTTCAATTTTTGCACCTCTTGTTTTGCACCAATTGTTTGTTCCTAACGACGTGTTTTGTCACTCGGAATATATTCCGCATGCTGCTTCCAGATTTCTTTTTTAAAAAAATGTATTTATTTATTTATTTGTTCATTAATACATTCATTTTCCCTCTCTCATTTATAGGAAGTACATGTCACACAAGTACACTTCCTGCACTTGTGCGGACTCCTACCCTGATGATGCAGCCATCGCTTAATATCAAACCATTTATGCCCTTTCCAATGGACACTGGCCCGGCTGTTGGACTCTTCCCAAATTTTAACACAGTGAGTAAACCCGAGAATCTGTGGTGTTTTTCCCCCCCCTCTCTCAGTCCTTCGGTTAGATGAAATTATTTGGTACCCAGTAGATGGAGCCTTTATCACAGAATGAAAAGACTGTGTCTTCAGCTGCAGCTATTTTGTCAATGCTTCCAAACTGTTAGTTGATTTCATTACGTCTGGGACTTTGTTCAGCTGACGTTACTTATTTTTTGTATGAGGGGTCTTTCCAGTTTCTGTTAATCCAGCGCATTGTAAGATCTTTGGAACTGTGCAACATCAAGCTACCAACAAGCTTGAACTGTGAGGTGCTGTCGGCAATGCTTTAGGAGGAGCTGGAAGAGCAGCGACTTAAGAAAATATATTGATTGTGAACTAAATGGAAAAAAATTTGATTGGTAGGTTTCTGTTGAACTAAATGTTGTTTTGATGATATATACCAAGTAGAATTTGTTACACGTATTACAGTCGACTTGTTGTCTGTTTCATTCAGACAGAATATTCTCAAAAGACTCCATGAACTGCTTTGCTAAGATTGGAATGCTCTATTTGAAAACTCGTCACTCATTTTCAAGTTTGAGCTCTAAATTTGTAGAAACTTGCAATGAATTTAAATGATATTTAGAAAACGTTTTAATCAACAGCAGCATAAGAAATAATAGATCTTTTTAGTTCACTTTTTGCTGCAAACTCTCTTTGTCAGTGTTGATTTACCTCACTGAGCCCTCATTGCAACCGCTCCATAAATCACTGTGTTGATTCAGGCTGAAGAGACTATTGTTATGTTAAAGTAAGTCTTCACATTAATGTGGAGTGCTTTTTGTAGAATACTTACCGAGCTGTCTGATTGACTGTAAATACCGTTTGGGATATGTGTCGAGATATAATGCTCAGGGGAAAAGATGTACAGTATTTGTTGTCCATTGAAAATATCCTAACAAGTTCCAGCTTGTGGGAATATGGCATTTTTAGGAGGACAAATGCTGCAAATGCAATAACCCTTTGTGAATATAAAAGATAAAACATTGAGCAAAACAAAAAAACATCCTTGGCTATTGAGCAAATACAGATTATGGTACACAGTAACCGTTCTACTGGTACAACATCACATGCGTCTCTGCAATCAATAAAGAATTATGTTATCAACAGGAACAGACTGTGGGTGTTTGAAATATAGCCAAGTGGTTAAGGACATTAATTCTTTTAGCAAATTAATCTAGTGTGAAAAGAAAACGGAACCAGGGATTTTGATTAAATTGTAAATTATGTTGTTGTCAAATGTACTGCTTTGGAGCTAAGGAACACTGAGATGCTTGTGTGTCAGAGCAGAATCTTGCAAATCATTTATAATCTGTCCTTCAGGTTGATGGTCGAAAGTGGAAACTTTTAACGCAGGACATTTCAACTTTGTGAAGGGTACTGTATCGAGGTTAACTCTTTCCATTCACAAATGTGGGAAATGTCCCATGGCCATGCAGATCGTTTGGGCTGCGGTAGTCGGTTAAGAGTTGAATCGGATGTTAGGGATGAGAATTCAGTAGCCTCTTCAGCCTTCGCTAAAGTTAATGTTGAAAATCAGTCCCGATGCCGAAGGCCGGCATGCAAACTCCATTAACTGGCAAGTTGTGTGTGGTGTGGTGTGGATGTGTGTGTATCTGTGTGAGAGAGAGAGAAATTGGCAGGGATTGAACACACATGGTCACAGCTATAATATATTAAATTGGACTGAGCACAGGGATTCTTCCTGCTCAGCAACTGCAAGTCAAAGCCCTAACAGATAGGGTGGTCCTAGCTGTACAGGCAGCAGTAGGAAGCTTGCCAGACAGTACTTTCACTGGCATGTTATGTATGTTTAGCTGATTAGACTCCAGCAATATCTCCCAATGGCTCTTGCCCTCCGTTTTACCCCCTGTTCCCCTCCCCACTCTTGCCTTTACTCCTCCCTCCCCCCACTTCATCCACTTACCCCTCTCCCCTAACCCCTGTGGCAATGTGATGAAATGCCACTAGCTGACATGCAAACGTGCCAGAACAAGATGCGAATTGCAATGTATATAATCATCTGCCGGTGCTCATTAACGCAGCAGAACCCCATCTAGGAAAACAACTTTTTGCACCTTGGCAGCAGTTGTGAATACAGGAATCCGGTTCATTGTGTTTCCTTCCTGACTCAGCGTGATTCAGGAATAATTCACATTTTACAGTCTGAACCTGAACCCAATTTCCAAAGCAAAGGTAACCCATTCATCTCTAACGCTTTGTACATGAACCCTGCCAATGAATTGAAGCTGTGTACGATTAAACTGAATTCTCTCAACAGCTTGCTTTCATACAGCACGTAAACGAATGCCTCAAAGTGTTGGAGCGATCGAGTGTATGGTGAACCATTATATCGACGCAAGGTCACTCGGTATGCAGTGAATAGCTCCAGATCGTACGTGCCCTTGAGGTTCTAGGTCTACTGGGATCTGAGAGCCACGTGTACATCAGCGTTGACTTTGTGTTGGTGCTGCGGAAATTGTTTTCCACGCTTTATAATACTTTCTCTGCCACATTTTGTGACGTGGACCTTTTCTTCTCTGCGAGCACTACATGTCACTCTCTTGCTGAAGGGTGGCGACTTTCTGGCAGCTGCAAATTCACTCACCCTCCTGTTTCTCTCCTCCAGTCCCTCATGTTGAACATCTTCCTGTCCCTTGCTGTTGAAGACCTTCCCCTTCGACCATGCTTACGGTCACCTCCTCCCTCCCGTTGGCTCAGCGTCAGGCCTCCGAGAATCTGCCCTATGTGAAGGGCACGACGTAAATGCAAGTTGTTGTTGTTTCTCTGTCCCAGTTCTCCTGCTCAGCTCCTACTTGAGATCAGGAATGTGAGATGATCCTGTCATTCTGTACTGCATCAATGTGCCAGTACTCCACAGCACCAGGCCCACTAGAGTAACACTCTACGCGCTTAAAACAATGCAGTTTTATTCATACTTGTTGAAGAATGACCTCCTCCAACCTATAAGGCTCTGGGTTATATTGAAACCCAGTTGGGTCCTATTCAAGCTTTTGTAGTGCCTCATTTCATCCTCTATTCTGCTTCCTTGTTAACCAGCAGTTCCATGATGCCCATATTTCTGCTTGATCAGGGTACTGATCTATGTCCTAAATACCCTCTCGTTGGGCAATTCTTTACCCCCAACAACCTCAATCTAGCACTCCAGAAAACGTTCTAGTAATTGCCTTTTTTTTTGTAGAAAATTCCCCCCTTCTCCCCCCAAAAAGTGGTAGATTCATAAAAAGCTTTGTGGCACGTAACTCCTGAACCCAAAGGGACAGTTCCTTATACAGGTTTGACCACAATGTCTTTTTTTGTACATCACTCACTGTTGACGGTACAACTGTAGCATATTTTGATGACTGAGACTATGTGTTTATTCTGGGGGGATGTACCATTGTTGCCCTCCGCCACTGTCAAGCACTTTGGGACACCTCCCTGTATATAAATTCGAGTTGTTGTTGCCTTCCCGTCTGAGGAATGGTGGATGGGATGGGGAGCCAAAGGAAGGGGAGATGAGTGAGAAAGAGAGATTGCGTTATAAAAGGGTTGTTATTCTGGAAACAACAATAGATTTACATTTGCATTTAGGCAGTGCCTTTCACATTGGGAGGAGGTCTCAAAGCGCTTCTCACAGCCAAATGGGCACCTAAATTGGAGGGTGGGCAAAATACGGCCAAAAGTGCATTCAAAGAGATAGGTATTAACTTGAGCTTTAAACGTGGGGAGGGAGGAGGTGAGGAAGAGGGTGTTTGGATGGAGTTCCAGAAAGTGGGGTAAATTAGCTGATAGATCACCTACTGATAGTGGGGTGGGTCAGACAGAACATAAAACTGGACAGCATTCGCCAAGTGGAGCGAGTGGCCAGGTCGGCAAGAGGTTATTCTCAATGAGAAGGTAGCTCTTCTTCTTTGAGTGCTGAACACAATGCCAGAGACTGGCGCAGTGTTGCCTATGAGATAGATAGACCGACCGACCGACCGACGATCATGTCAATTGTAGGATTTTATTTTTGAAGGCAAAAGTCAAATTGGATTTTTCATCAATTAAAATATCAAGAGAATATAGAAAAGGAGAGAAAAGTGGAATTAAAATATTTATATTTTGGTTGCATTAAAAAATGTGTATTTCGTGTTTGCTTTTACAGCTTGGGGTTAATCGTACAGTAATAAAGCTGTTCTTGATGTCTGAAGAGCTCAGTGGATTTAATGACAGGAATGTCAGAGACTATGGGGATTAATGCGTAGGTTTCTGGACTAACGGTTATCTATTAATGGTGATAATGACCATGAATGGTTCAGGATGTATTGTGTGTTTGGCATTCTAACCAGCTTCAGGTCTCACGTTGCCAGGATAAATCACACAGCAATGCTCACTATTGCTGTTTTGCAGTTGTCACCATTCCAGTGAAATATTATGGCCTCACACAATTGGTTTATTCAGAAGATACAAACTCCCCTTTGCTCCCAGGTTCATTTGATGGAGTGATCTGTCTTATCTCACAAGTCAGTTCTGTATTTATTTATTAATTAGATATAGATTTTTTTTATAATCACTTTCATTAGTTTGACAAACACTAAAGGAATCGCAGCTGTTAACAAGTTTGTTTTAAATCTAGCTGTATAAACTGGGAGAACCTTTTCCTTTGAAACAGCACAATGTGTAAAGAGAAGCAAATGCAGAAGGTGCCATTCTTGTTGCAGATCTTCACATCCTTAATGAGTGGCTTGAGTTTAATGTTCGATTGTTGTAGCTGGTTTATTGATCATTTTTATCTAAGTCTGAAAATCAGGCCAATGGTGAAAAAACACGGTTTGTAGCTAACATTTATTTCTCAGGCTCCACCTGGGCCAAGAGATTGGTTCATGTTTTTTACATGAAGAGAGATTAAAATTTGAACATTAACCCATGAAGAATGATTGGGCCAAAGGCATGAAGAATTTACAACTCAAATTGAAAGTTGG